CTCTCTTTCTTCTGGCATTGTCCCCACTCCCCTGCTACTGCTATACCCCTCCCGTCTTCCCTATGTAAGTACTGTCCCTTAGCTTTACTCCATTTTTCCTCAAAACTTCTGGTACAACTTGTCTGTAACCATCGGATGCGCTTTATCAACTCAAACTCCAACCTAGACCCTCTTCAATCTGGTTTCTGCCCTCTCCAGTCTACTGCGACAGCTCTGATTAAACTAACCAATGATCTAATTGCATCTAAATTCAAAGGCCACAACTTCATACTAATTCTACATTCTCCTTCTCCAAACTCTTCACAACCTTGGGCTTCATGACACTGTCATTTGGGTTTCACCCTATCTCTCTCAATAATTCACTGTCTTCTTTTCTGGTTATAACTCCTCCTCCTAGGCTCTGTTCTTGGTCCCCTTCTTTTCTCTCTGTACACTACCTCTCCTTGAAAATGTATGAATTATTTTGAATTCCAATACCACTGGGCACCATTGCATGGTGGTACTGGAGGTACAACACAATTTCATTGGCAACACACGGCTTTTATGTATAACCCCGTGCAAGGAGTTTACCACACAAACATGCAGGACACATCCCAAGATCCTTCCCCTCCCTAGGGACCCAGCACGGGAAGGGACTCTGCTCCCTTTGTCCCCAAAGCCTGCCACTAAACCCACAGGGTTCCCAAGAGCCTCTGTGTCTGGGAGTCAAGGCGCGGAAAAAAGAGACCTTCCCTTTGTCTCCCAGGCACATAAAATCCTGCCCACATGAAAAGAGCTGGTCTCTTTGTCCCTCAGGTTCATGAGAGCCTGCCAAACACGCCAGTTCCACAAAAGTGCCCACACCAGCCTCAGGGATCCTCGCCTCGGTTCCTCGATTGGCTAGTCTCTGTTCGCAAGGTCCTGGTGTGAAACCCAGACAAGGGAAGCGTCTCCTTTCAGGTATGAATGCTCCCCCTGGCCGCTATCCATCTATACGAATGGCGGAAACCCAAGGAAGCACTCATTAATTACTTCCCTTGCGGTTTCACACCTATGTAGAGAGTGCGAATGTTCCTATTAATTAGTGTAAACGTTCTAATGTAGCACCGTGGGGGGTCCTTGTTCAGGAGACGAACGAGGTGGGAAACAATCCACGAGTGCTCCCTCTATTGACATTCATCTGTACGAATGGCGGCCACCCAGGGAAGCGCTCATTAATTGTTTCCCTTGCGCTTTGCGGTTTTGACACTTATGTTGTGAGGTGTGAACATTCTAACCTTACATTCTTAATGAGGTTCAGGAGGTGAATGAATTCCCTTCGTGGACACACTCCCGAACAGCACAATAAGCAACCATACAGGTAAAACACATGTAAAAAGAGAGGGAAAACCCAAGATAGAGTGACACAAAAGTGCTAGGGGGACAGAGTGACAGGAGGTTAAAGCCACTATCCCCTGTCACTCTGTTCCCCTCTACTTTATTCACTCTAACTGCTAACCTCCTGACAGGGGTTATGGGGACAGAATGACAAGCAGGTAGAGGGGGGCACAGTGGCACAATGCTAAGCTTGGGAAAGGCGCTGTGACAGAGCTGAAATGTTGCAAACTGCAATGTCCAAATAGAATATTCATTGAAAAAACTCGGTGTGTGCCGGGACATCTTTTTTCCATTGTCTATTACATGGGAATATTGCCAACTCAGTCTGAGTGGCACCACAGACAAATTCTCTTCTATATGTACTTCCTACCTACATTCAGCATCTCCACACTCTGCATGGAGATGCTGAATGCTCCCCATACGAGGAGATGCTGATTGGAGCAGCAAGGCATTTTGCCATGCATGTGCAATGGCCTCCCAAAACTTTCCTATGGGAAAGCATTGGATTGACAGAGATTATCAAAATTGATGATCAGTGGTGAACCAGCACAGTGATGGAGAAAAAGTAAGGCATGGGCGGGGGGTGGGCACCTAAACAGTTACTCCAACACTACAGTACATAACTATAAAATAGTGTTCTTTTAAATAAAATGTAATAAAAAATTAGAAAAATATAAAAATTATATTCTTTTCCCATCAGGGGGCCGCAGGGCGCACAATAAAGAGAATAAGACCAGTGGAAATATCTGTTTCTGTTAGAAGTGCTGTCTTTCTTACAACATTTTGTATACTTACAGGTGGATTAACTAATAGAACTGCAATGGATATCCGTCTTCTTAAAGCGTTCCTCTTCATTCTCTTCACAGTCATTGGCATTCCAGGCAATATCTACATAGTGCTGAAATTTTCTATTACCCGGATCATAGAAAAGAAGCTGCTTCCAAACAATATTATTTTAACAGTGTTGGCTTTAGCAAACCTTTTTATTGTGTTTTCACGTGTCATCCCACAGTCCCTACATGCAGTAGGACTACAGAACTTATTTGACGATGCCAATTGCAAACTTTTTGGATATACATACAGAGTAAGTCGTGCCATGTCCATTTGCAGCACCAGTTTGCTCAGCTGCCACCAATGCATCCTAATTGCCCCCAACGTCAAACTTTGGGGTTTACTCAAACAAAAAGTTTCTCACAATATATTGATTATTATTATAGCCATCCTGTTAATGAATCTAGCTCTTTACCGTACAAGTTTCATGTATGCCAATGCCATAAAGAATTCCACTTCACCATATACCCTCCACTTGGTCTACTGTGATACTGACTTTTTAACATATGTATCTTATATTACTAATGGTATAGTTTTTGCCACTAGGGACTTTCTCTTTGTGGGGATGATGGCTCTCGCCAGTTGTTACATTGTATACATATTGCTTCATCACCAGAGATCCATAAAAGGAATACGGAGCTCTGACAAAATCCAACGGAGGTCAGTTGAGTACAAGGCATCGAGAGCAGTCATTTTGCTTGTTGTATTCTATGTTCTATTATATGGATTGGATAATTGTATGTGGATCTACACCTTGACCTTATCTAATGTAAAACCAGATACAAATGATGCCAGAGTAGTATTGTCTTGTGCTTACTCTGCACTAAGTCCTATTCTCATCATTTCAACCAATCCTAAATTACAACAATGGGCAAAGGTTTCCCTATGGAGGGACCAAACAAAATCTACAAACAGTAGTCATCTGTACTGTATTAGCAAAAACGTGGAAGGACAGATCTCCTTGCATGCTTGAAATGAAATTCTAAGCAAATGTTAAGAGAGGTTTCAATAACTTTGTAGTTGCACAAAACACAGTGTTTGAAAATGCTGTTTTTTTCAAATAATCAAATTAACACAGTGAACTAAGCCTGCATTGTGCTAAGATTGGAGTCTTATTTTATTTAGTACAATGGGAAAGTGGTATAGACTGTCATAATCTATAACATACAATTCTTATTTTTTTTCATTCTACAAGAAACAAATATGTTCTGTTCTATATAAATGCAATGTCTATGCCTATATGTGAAAGACTTTAGACTGTTTCGAGTGTTTTGTTTTATTGCTCAAGGTTAATAAAATAAAGTACCAGTAGTTTGCTAACTGACAATATTCACTGTCCTAAGCATTAAATGTTAACATTGTATTTTAGTAATTATTTAAATTGTATTTTATATTACTGTAAATTCGTCTCATTGAATTCTCATTTTATGAGCTAATACAATGTCTGTCCATATAAGGCAGTGTTTTTAAAAATGTACCCTTCGGACATGTTGGATATATAAATCTGCTAGAAGTAAGTAGTCACAAACTGTCAGAAGCTATAAACTATGTATAGTCTACTCGTGCTATGTATTTTTTTATGCTTAGGAATAGACATACATCTCGGAAAGCATCAATCACAGGGTTATTCACAAAAGTGAGAATTCAAAGTGAATTTCCCAATTTCAAGCATAGCCAACTTTCAAACTTTAGATTTTTTTCATTTCAGTAAATTTGAAATTATATATATATATATATATATATATATATATAAATATTAAGATATAGGCTAGCACTCACGGTCTTGTAGTAAAAAATCATCTATTTTCGGTTATTCCATAAAAACTCGATGTTTCGGCCCACGTCCTGGGCTTTCTTCAGGAGCAACAAACAACAATTTTGAAGAAAGCCCAGGACGTGGGCTGAAACGTCGAGTTTTTATGGAATAACCGAATAAAGATGATTTTTTACTACAAGACCGTGAGTGCTAGCCTATATCTTAATATTTTTGTATATCTTGGCTATGGCTTTTAGCACCCGGCAATTAACATCATGCTTAATATAGCAGGGTTAATCTGAGTGCAAGGACTGGTCTATTTTATATATATATATATATATATATACATATATATATATATATATATATATATATATATATATATATATATATATATATATATATATATATATATATATATAATTCTCCAAAATAAGGTAAACCAAACTATTTTTAATTACACATTTAAAAAATAGTATTTTGGGCATGATATTAGTCATGGGCAGATTGTGCACAGCAAGGGGCACAGAGACATCAATGTGCTGGAAATTTAAACAAAATAGCGTGTCAAAAGAAGTCTGTATCAAAAGACTGCAATCCACATTATTATCATTAATTACTTTTTATTTATATACATTTTATTTATAAAACACAAATATTTTCTGCAGTAAGCAGCGATGTCTGAGGTTAAACCAGGTAAGGGTTAACAATTTAAGGTCAAAGTCAATTGTACACATTCTGACCAAAACAAAGCCTAGAATTTGAGCTATACATTTGTTCAACCATAATTCACATCTTTCATATTAAATGCACCCACACTTAATATATATAACTTTGTTCAGGACAAATGGGGCTCTCAGTTCACATCAAATATCTATATATGGAACACAATTTAAGTTCTGCATGACATTTTCACTGTGAATGTCATAATACTGTTTGCTTTTACCAGTGGCGTCTCCAGGATTCATATTTAGGGGAGGGGAAATGAGGGGCCAGGGACAAAAAAGTAGGGGGGCAGTTATAAAACATCTATGTATGTGTGTGTGTATATATATTTGTGTGTGTGTGTGTATGTGTGTGTGTGTGTGTATATATATATATATATATATATTTATGTATATATACACACACACACACACACATACATAAACAGGGCTCGAACAATCCCAGGTGCCAGGTAGCCATGGTTACTAGAAATTTCGCCCTGGTGCCTGGGATTTGTCAGCCCTTTGCTAAGCCACGCAGGAAACATTGAAGCCGGACACCATGGGGAGCTTTAAAGCTGGACACTGCGGGGAGCCAGAAGAAGCAGTAACCTGTAGTGTGAGCATATGCTCATGTATAGAAGCTTTTGAGATTGTGTGTGCTGAGAGGCCTGTAAAGTGTGTGCGTGTGCATCTAGGGGCTGCAGTGTGAGTGTATGTGTATTGGGGGTGCATTGTAGCCCTATGGAATATGAGCAGCATAAGTGGAATAGGGCCTTGACAGGGCTTGGAGGCAGGCTTAGGGGGAGAACAGTTGGGTAGAGATTGGTAGGGGATTGGGGGCCAGCCTAGTATAAATAGGTCAGCCATTTTATCCCTTGTCACTATTAATCAACTCACCAGTCCGTGTTGGTCCCTCCCTCCCTCCCTCCCTTGGGTTGACTCCATGGTTTCTGGCCTTGTTTAGTGAGGGGAAGGCTAGAGAGAAAAGGGTCCCTGGTGTAGTTACAGAAGAGTTAAGGATGTTGGTCAATTGGTTACAAGTTGGTTGGTTACAATGTTGTTGGGTTTCAAGCTTGTCAGTAGCTCAGAACTGTGGTGGGGTAGGGGTATCCGGGTATACCCCTACCAGGAGGCGATTAATTTATGTTGCACTTTATTTGTGTATATTTATGTTGAGTTGTGTATATATATCTAAATGTCGTTATATTGTTATAATAATGTTTATAATATGGGTCATTGCCTTATTTATGATGTATGGGATATGTATTGTTGACGCATGGTTGGGTGGGGGTGGGCAATGATTTTACATATTTCAATTTATATATTTCGAAGTTATTATTATTATTTAACCCCTTAAGGACGGCGGGCGTTCTATGCCGTCCTTAAGGAAGCAGCTCTGAACGCCCAAACCGTCCTTTGTACTTACCCGGTCGCCGGCGATCCCACGCCGGGGATCACGGCATGGGGACTCACCTGGGAGCCCAGGGAGTCCCCCTCCGTCCTCTTTGGCCCCCCTGGGCATGGACAGCATAGCTGTCCAAGGCGGTGCCAGCAGGGGGAGTGCCTGTAATGACAGGTACTCCCCCTGCTGTCTGAAAATAAATAAAATAAAAGTTAAATTAGTGTAAAAATAAATAATAAATACTTTATATATTATTATATATATGATCTAAGTATATATATATATATAAACATATACACACATACACATACACTGTCTAAGTGTATTTTAATATTAAAATATATATAATTATAAATATATATTAATATCAAAATACACGTACAATGATATTGATTAAATATATATATAATTTTCATTATATATATATATAATATGAAATAAATAAATCTGTAAATGCGTAAAAAAATGAAATTAAAAAAATAATAAAAAAATAAATAAATAAAATATATATATATGTGTAAATTCATTCTAACTATATTTTAAAATGAATATATATATATATATATATATATTGATTTAAAAATATATGTAGAATGAAATAATATATATATCTATAGACATAAGTATATACGTATTTATCACTATATATATATACCTATATATAAATAAAAATAATTTAAAAAAATTATATACATGTATATATATATATATATATAAAAAATATGGCAAACCCCTGCACTCCAATAAGAAAATATATTTTACCTGGTGCTCTGGTAGCTCAATTGTAGAAAGTGGAAAAACCGGCACTCAAGGAGTTTTAACAGCTTTTACTGTGTAAAAATAAATCAACGTTTCAGACAACGGACATACCCTGATGAAAGCTCCCTAGTGGAGCTGAAACGTTGATTTATTTTTACACAGTAAAAGCTGTTAAAACTCCTTGAGTGCCGGTTTTTCCACTTTCTATATATATATATATATATATATATATATATATATTCATATATTTATATACACACATATATATAATAATTCTATGTATATATTTATGTAATAATTTTACATAATTAGGACCAGCCTGACAACCCAGGCCAAAAGTCCAGGAAATTTAATTTGCTAACACTATATTTAACCCTGTAACTTTCCAAGACACCATAAAACCTGTACATGGGGGGTAGTGTTTTACTCGGAAGACTCCTCTGAACACAAATATTAGTGTTTCAAAACAGTAACATGTATTACAACGACGATATTGTCAGTGAAAGTGACATTTTTTGCATTTTTCACACCGAAATGGCGATTACACGGACAATATAATTGTTGTGATACGTTTTACTGTTTTGAAACACTAATATTTGTGTTCAGCGAAGTCTCCCGAGTATAACAGTACCCCTCATGTACAGGTTTTATGGTGTTTTCAAAAGGAGAGTCAAATATAAGGCTTGCATTTCAGTTTTTTCACATTGAAATTCGCCAGATTGGTTACGTTGCCTTTGAGATCGTACGGTAGCCCAGGAATGAGAATTACCCCCATAATGGCATACCATTTGCAAAAGTAGACAACCCAAGGTATTGCAAATGGGGTATGTCCAGTCATTTTTAGTAGCCACTTAGTCACAAACACTGACCAATACACACACAGACTGACCCATACACACACACACAGACTGACCCCCACACACAGACTGACCCATACACACACAGACTGACCCATACACACACATACTGCCCCCTTCACACAGACTGACCTATACACACACAGACTGACCCTTTCCTACACACAGACTGACCCCCACACACAAACTGACCCATACACACACAAACACACAGACTGACCAATACAAAAAGACTGACCCCCCACACATACACAGACTGACCCCCCCACACACACAGACTGAAACCCCCACCCCCACACACTGTCTCTCCCCTGCGCTGCTTTCTGTGACCTAGCAGGAAGTTCCTCCCAGCACAGTGCCCCCTTTGGCTGCACGTGGGAACTTCCATCTATGATTAAATTCTTCAAAGAAAGATGGAGGTAGGGGCCCCGATGCACCCACCTCTGTGCCTCTGTGGACTGCCGCCGGGTGAAACACTTGCTGCTGCAGCTAGTGAAGGGAGACTCAGTGCTCCCAGCTTCAATTTCAATTGGGGGGGGGGCACAGCTTGATGTAGGGGGGCCATGGCATCCTCGGACCGCCCCTGGCTTTTACTACAATAAAACACACATATGTGTAAGCTGTGATGTCCCACAGGTATAACAATGCTCCCCATGTAGAGGTTTCATGTTGTTACAGGGTCATATAAAGAGCTTGCCCATTTCAGTTATTACACATTGAAATTTGCCAGATTGGTTTGCTGGCCCTATATTGCCTTTAAAGCTGTGTGGTAGTCCAGGAATGAAAATTAACCCCATCTTGGCATTTCATTTGTAAAAGTAGACAACCCAGGATATTCAAAATACAAACGAGCCTGCAATGTCCCAACAGTCATAGCAAGCACATCAACATACAAAGTAATACAGATGTGTGGCATTTTGAGTGAACAGCAATAGTTTTATGGTTTAGTGAATTTATGGTTTAGTGAAGGCTAGGCATAGAATTCTAAAAAGTCTGGTGGTTTAAACTGATTAGACTGCTCCTGATACAAGTTGTAAGTATAGCATAATAAACAAAATAAGTAAACACGCATAGGTGCTAATAACACATGAATATGTGTGTTGATGTTCCACCTCAGAAGTAAGATGCAGCCAGAAGCTCAGCACCTTCATGGGCATTATACTGTTACCCCAGATGGTGCCATTTTGCAGGCCCAGTGTCACAGTTGCTGTCATTAAGCCTAGGAATGCCAGACAGCTTACTCTCCGCACTTCATCCTCCTGTAGTTTCCCCTTGCTTGTCTATGCACTTTCCACTCCAATGTCAGCCGGGTCCCCAACTGTCTCATGGTGCGCTGATGCGGTCTTCGCCACCGTTGGCGCACTCTGCTAGCAGTGTGTTTCATCTGGGAGTGTTGGATGCGGCAGGATGAATTTACAAACATCCAGTCAGCTTGCATGGCAGGTATGCACTGCCTGGAGTTCAGCTTCAGCCAGAAAGCTTGAATTATGGCATCCAGGCATTGCAGAAGACAGTATATCTCTCTCTACTTAGTACGTCATTATACGTTTTACTTCCTTAAAACACTCATATTTGTGTTCAGCGAAGTTTCACAAGTACAAAAGTGTCAAAAAGGCCTCACAAAAAAAGCCTTGGTCCTTAAGGATTTAACCCCTGAAGGACTGAGGCAATTGTACACATTCTGATCAAAACAAAATGTAAACAAAAACTGGAATTGTGCTAAATGTCTGTTCAACCGTAATTCACCTCTTTCATATTAAGTGCACCCACACCTATTATATATCATTTTGTTCAGGAGAAACAGAGCGTTCATTTCACATCAAATACATATACATTAAACATAATTTAATATGAATAAAATATAGAAAAGTTTGAGAAAATAAGAGATTTTGTAATTTTTCAAGTTCTGCATGGCATTTTAACTGTATATGTTATAATACTGTTAGTTTGTACTGCAATAAAAAAACATATTTGTGTTCGCAAGTACAACAGTAACCCCCATCTACAGGTTTTATGAGGTTTTGGAAAGTTAAATATAGTCAACTATAGGGTCCATTTTACATATCGAAATTTGCCAGATTGGTTATGTCCCCTATGAGATTGTATGGCAACCCAGGAATGAAAATGATCACCATCATGGCACACCATTTGCAAAAGTAGACATCCCAGACTATTCGAAATGGGGTATGTCCAATCTTTTTAGTGGTCACTTAGTCAGAAGTTAGTGTTCATATTTGTTTTTTGCATTTAAAAAAAAAAACAACTTCCCCTTCAATCATGATATCACGGTCATTATATGTTTTAGTGCTCTTAAACACTCATATTTGTGTTCAGCAATGTCGCATGAGTACAACAGTATCCCCTGTGTACAGGTTTTATGGTGTTTTATAAAGTTACAGGGTCAAATATGGAGATTTCAAAT